ACCCTACCGCGACAATGGGCACCTGACAAATGAGCAGAAAATATTTAATATTAAGTTCTGCACGATTGGCAATTGAGCATACTTTCGACTATATGAATCAGAGATTTGGGAAATTACATATACTATTGTAAAATTCAAGGTGTAGAAATGCTGTGATATTTTATGTTGCTTCATAAAATTTTCAGTGAGGATGAACTTAAAATTTTGTCTGAATGGAGTTTCTGAAACACAAGACCATCTTGGATAATTTGCAAACTGCTGCAAATTTAATATGAAATGCTGTAAGTGATGTTATATCAAGAGAATATTTATTTTTGTGGATTTAAGTACATAATAAATAGGACAATGACAAGAACGGAATTATATTTTTCGAGTTCAAGTGATGATGATGAAGAAAAAATATATATGAATACATGTCGGAAAAGATTACGGAAGATTTCAGGGTTTTCCTTTCGTATATTTGGAGGCGTTCCTTTTCAAAAAAAACTTCTTTCTTGTGTACTAATACACATTTGTAAAGTATTTTTTAATGGATTTTATGTTATCTTCTATTGACCCGAAACAATGGCACTGCGCTTGTTGTTAGCCAAACAATGTTAATCCCTCATCCCTATTTGATTTTTTTTTAATCGACACATATTGAAGCGATGGGTATATCAGTGCTGGCGTTAATACCGGAAAAAGTAGTTGCAACATCTGCATCCTCTTCACTTTTTTCCAAAATATTTGCTACTTTCCGCGTCGCAACTTGGGCATCCGGCAAATCCGACCACTCTATCTGGTTTATTAATTTCACCTCCTGTTGACCTAGCTTCGGATTTCTTGTGTTCCATTTATTCTTTATTTTGAATTTTAATTCCATTCATACCTTAAATATACAATATATGTACATACATTAGAGCGGATTCATTTAGAGAGAGCCAAAAAAGTTAAATTTAATTCGGTTCTGGTTAAATATTGTCATTATCCAAAAATAACTCACTCAAATGATTAGAGCAGTGAAAATGAATTTTAGGCTTTTTGTACTCTCTAAGTTCTTTTATCTTGCAAAGGTTGTCACGGTAGTACAGACATTTTTTTATTGCCACGCCATGATTATCGTAAAGCATTGATAGCATAACATTTTCTGGATGAGCAAAGTATGAGTAAGCACTACCAAATTGACTTTCTTTATAGAAAAACAAAAAAAACGTTAACTTCGGTTGCACCGAAGCTATAATACAAATACAAAGGCCCCTTACAAGAACTTGATTCCGAACGTTCAATTTGTATGGCAGCTATATGATATAGTGATCTGATCTGACCAATTTCTGCGGAGAATAATTTCTTGCCTCGAGCAATAAATCGCGCCTAATTTCGTGAAGATACCTCGTCAAATAAAAAAATGTTCCATGCAAGCACTTTACTCCGATAGTTCAGTCAATATGCCAGCTATATGCTATAGTCATACGATCTATACAATTTCTTCGACGATTAGATGATTGCCTTAAATAATAATCCATGCGAAATTTCGTGAAGATACCTCGTCAAATAAAAAAGTTTTCCATACAAGAACTTGATTCCGATTGTTCAGTTTGTATAGCATCTATGTGCTATAGTGGTTCGATATCGGCTATTCCGACAAATAAGCAGCGCCTTTGTAAGAAAAGGACAGGGGCAAAATTTCAGATCGATAGCTTAAAAACTTGTGTATATATTTTGTAGGGTCTCCGGCAAACTTAATATACCCTGTTCAGAGTATAAAAATTGCGTGAGGTGGACAAATTTGAATATAAACGGATTATATAAAAAAATGATAATTTTTGTATTGGCTCCTATGAACCAAATATCTACCATCATATGTGTAACATTTAATGTGTCTGACTTGTTTATTTAATGAGCTATCGCACTTTTAGTAGATTTAATCAAAACCGTTGTTTGGGGAGTGGAGTGAATTTGGTTATTACAGCATTAGTGGTTTAGGAGATATGTACATTAAATGTATTATGGAGCAGGCCACGCCGACTTTAAACAAAATTTTTTTACTAAAGATGCCTTTCGCAAATGCAATTCGTTGTACTGAATAAGCTTTGTATCGTATTATGGAGCTTAGTTATGGCAATTTATTTGTTTTCGATTAATTGTGTTTTGTGGGCGTGGCAATGGTCCGATTACGCCCATCTACAATACCAACCGTCTTGCGGTACCAAGACATGTATATCAAGTTTCATCCAGATATCTTAATTTTTACTGAATTTACAGCTTACACAAACGGACGGACGGATTTCAACTCGTCTCTTCATCCTGACCATTTATGGTATATATATTATATATAACCCTATATCTAACTCGATTAGTTTTAGGTGATACAAACAATCGTTAGGTGAACAAAACCATTATACTCTGTAGCAACATGTTGCGAGAGTATATGGTAAAAATGCAGTAATATTGCAATTTTACTTACTTTATATATCCCTCCAAAATATATGAAAATTCAATAGTTTTATTTTCTTTCTGAAACCGTTGGCATATGCAAGATTTTTTTCCTATTCGGACACTAAAATTTCAAACTGCTTCGTGTTACAATGACAAGGAACTGTTACCATATTCGCTTTAAAATGGAGAATACGAATTTATTTTGGATAAATGTCGTAAGCGAATGCAACTTAGCAATTTTTATTTCGTTTTAAAACGGCAACGGAAGCGGGAATAGGGCCGCTTATATCAAAAAAAATATATATATTTATATTATTATATCGCATATCGTATTTCATTACTTTCATTTAGGCTAAATTACTTGTAGTTGTCCTACAAATTTCTGCTTCCTTCTTTTCGCACGGAACAATTTACTGCTCCCAAAAAAATCGGTAAATTGTTTGTGGATAGTATCATTTTTAATTTTTGTGGATTTTGGAGTTTCCTTAAAATCACTAATGTTATTATTATTATCTGGGATCTCAGTTTATGGTATATAATAATTTTATAACATCCCTACACAATACGGAGGAAGATTCTTTTTCAGAGTCTTGTACCCACAAAGTGCTTTAATCTAATGTGCGGACTGGATGTCATTTCCTTTTTATTTTTGATGTCAGTTGTCTTTCGTTTGGTCGTAACTCCATTTTTATCAATACAACTTATACCCGCTTCTTCGAAAAGAGTGAAAATATACCTAGAATGTTGGTTTCAGTCTTTTTTATTAAATCACTTATACAATATATGTGAAATCTAAATAATTTAAGTGATAATAGTGAATTTGGGACACGTTTTCCTAGGCACTCTGAAAGGGTCTGTATTGCGTATGTCCCAAATCGGACTTTTGTTACGTCCACAAAATGATGTTAAGCAAAAATTTTAATGTTTTAGAACTAAGTCATAAATTAAGCTATGAATCCAAATTTAGTACAAGGGATCAAAATGAGTGTGCAAATTAGGGAAATCGGATACGATCACGACCATCCCCATAAATTGTTATGAGTAAGAGCTAATTCGGATCTATCCAAACATTTCATACTCTTGCAACTTGCAAGGATCAAAGCTGGGGAAATACATTCAGGTTTTGGCCAAACTTTATATTAAGAAATGTAGCGAAAAGGTTCAATTTCATTGTTCGACGAAATGGTGAATGGATTACAATCAAATTTGGTACCATAATAACTGGTTTTGTGGCACATTGGCCCATATACATATGTTGTATAAAGTCAACTGGAAGTTCGAAAGTCTTTATGCAAATTTGACAATTTTTAGACCTGAGATGGCCTACCTTAAAGGGAATATTCGTGCAAATTTGTATACCTATATATTAATTAGTGCTTGATTTGTGTACTGGAAAGTGAAAAGTTAGGCGTGGTTACTGTCCGATTTCGCTCATTTACATGGGAATGTCAAAATAATCTTATGTACAAAATTTGGTTGAAATTTGTGGAGTAGGTTCGGAGACCTTCTCTTATAAAGCCCTTTTGTGTCATCTCGGATGTATAATTTAATGTCTTTGACACATTTCGTTATTGATTTATCGCTGTTTTAGCAGTTTTTAACAAAACCGTTATATAAGGGAGTTGGCGTGATTATCATCTGATTTCAACTATTTTAATGTTTTCGTAAGAAGTGTCGAAATGATATCTCCTGTGCAAATTTGGGTTATATAGCTTGAATGGTTAGAGAGATGTAAAGATTAAACCACAGGTGCCCCTCATTATTATGATTCTTTGCAATAAATGAAGTTAAGTGTCAAGGAACACATGTACCAAGTTTCATGAAGATATATCAATTTTTATCGCTTGCAGAAACGGAAGGACAGACGGATTTAAGGATATTTTCGGTAGAAAAAACGTCATATGTAGGTCCGAAGCTTTTATTATTCGTGGAAGCACTTTTATTCCGTAAATAGGGTTTATTAAGTTTACCACGAAATTTGTAACACAACGAAGAAAACGTCGGAGACCCTACAAAAAATATATATGTATATAAATGATAATCTGAGTCGACTTGTCTTTATATCCATATTTATACTAGTCACTCAGTTTTTGAGATATCGATCTGACATTTTGCACCCTTTCCTCTCTAAGAATCTGGTCATTTGTCGGAACCGCCGATATCGGACCACTATAGCATTATCTGCCATACAAGCTGAACGATCAAACTCAAGTCCTTTTAGGGAAAGCTTTTTATTTGAGACGATATCTTCACGAAATTTGACTTGAATTATTGTCCAACACAACCGTGCTATCTGCGAAACTTTGAATACGATCATATCCGGTTTGTGTCTTAGCTAAGTGCTTTTACCAACTAAACACGCCAAACTCATATAAAAGTAGCGCAGTAAACACATCTCATTTATAGCTTACTATTTGGCTTTTATTCTGTAATGGCATTCTAACAAGTGGCTTGGTATTCTACCTTGACGCCTCTTCTAATGATAAACTAGTATTAAATTTATATACTCCTACACATGTACTCATCCAAATGTTAAAGACGAATAGGTAAAAAGCAAACTCGTAAAGCAATCAGCTGTACACGAGCAGCTGTTGTCAGTTCATTTGCGAGAGTCGTTCATAACATATGTGAGACTAAGTGCCGCAAAATCGATTTATATGTGAAATAAAAAAAAATAACAAAAATAATATAGAAAGCAATAGAACACTAGGGTTATTACCTATGTATATATTAAATAGCCAAAAATTTTGTAATTATGAATTGATAAAGGAAATTGGGCGTGAGTGCCGACATTTAATGTGCAAACAAATAATATTTTGAAGTGATAAATTATAATTAGATACTATATGACAAATATACATACATATATAAATTAGAATTAAAAGCACTTGATTCGGTCGTTTTATGATTATTTGATGGCCAAAGTAGGTTGGTAGCTAGGTCATTCGGTGTGTGCAATTTGCATTGTTATGACGCTCACGAGAATATGGTAAAGCGTTTTTTGAGTTTTTAACCGTGGAGCCAACAATTATATATAAGTACATACATACATACATGTTCATAGAACTGTGCACGTAGTGCAAATAGCAAGCAAAGAAAAACAAAAAGTGAAACAGGGATTACCAAAGTCAGCTGCGCAGTTGTAACTGATAAGAGGTACCAGACTGAAGTACGTACGAGCGGCGGCGAGTGCAGCAAAGGAAACAGCTGACTGATTCATACGCGAGGCAGTAGGTATTAAAATAAAATGGTGAATGTCGGGAAAGTAGGGGTGGAGGTGGGGTCAGCGCTTTCGTAATCACTTCGTTGTTGTTATGGTTTCGGTTGGACTCGCTTTATTGCTGAGATAACCGTTTCGTTTGGTGTGAATGGACACACACTCGCACATATTACAAAAACAAATACTATATCACTGGTGATAGGAGCTACAATTATCCAGGCATGGACTTGTGCATAACAACAATTGGAACTCAGTGCTAATAGACGGCAATAAAACTATAATTACGCATAGTAATTTATACATGTGAATAGGTGGAAAACTAAGTACATAGTGCATACCCATAATAAATATGTAAATCTCTATTTGTAATATTTATACCGTAAAGTGAATTATTCAAAAATTAATATGTATAGATATACAAACATTCGTATGTATGTTAGTTCATATGGACAGTGGCGGACAAAAGTCTACATAAATCCACTATTTTCGTGGTTCTGAAAGTAGAAAAACTTTTCAGAAAAATGTGTGTATACAATTTTATTCTAATCTTCTTTCTAATTACAACAAACTAATAAATTCGTTGCAAGCTTGGTTTTTATTGAATAAGAAAGCTACAATGACTGCGCAAAAAAAAAATTAGTTGACCTAAGAAATTTGGTGATAAAATATAGAAAAAGAAAAAAATCATAAAGTAAAATCTCAAAAATTTTAAACTAGAGTCGAGCAATGGTACAAACTTCCAGAATAGTGATTCCATTGAAGTTAAGCCGCGCAGTGGAGACATCTATTTATGTCGTAGAAACGTCAGCTTGAATCTTAAAATGGTGAACAAAGATTTCAAATTAACTCCTCCGAAACAATAAAAAGGTGTCCCATCCCAAAACAATACAAAGAACTCTAAAGGATAACGATTTCGACAATAGAACACATCGCAATAAGCCTCTTAATGCAGAATAAAACGAAAATTTCGTTTAGAATTCACCATGCAACAAAAAAAAAAGCTATATGTTTTTGTAAAAAAAGGTGTTATTTCCAGATGAGTCGAAGTTCACCATTTGAGGTAGCGATGGAAGAAGAAACTAAGGCTGAGCTTGATTCGAAGAACTTGGTACCACCTGTAAAGCGTGATGGCAGAAGCATAATACTTTAGAAAGCTGTTGCGACCTCTGTAGTTGGAATGTTAGTTTTTAATGGGAGTAATATAATTCGTCACAAATAGAAGTATATGTTGGAACAAAAATTGGAAAAATGATTTGGTGGTTAATTTGGATTTCGGTTCCAGTTGAATCTTTCAACCACAAAAAAAAATGGCCCCAGACAATTAAACACATCAAATCGGATATCTTGGAATGAAATCGTAGAAAAAAAAAAACAGATTTCTACCGCTGTTATACGCAAAGAACGTATAGTAGAAGCTTGAAACACCATTCCATCTGCAAAGTTGCCAAATTTAGTAAAATCAACAGGGACTAAATTTTAAAATGCAATAATATTCAGAATTAAGTAAAGTTTTCACACTAAAATATGTTATCTTTGCACTGGATGTAGACATTTGACAAATCAATTTGTGAGTTTTTTTTATTGTGATTGGAAATAATATTAGAATAAACCTGTGTCAGCACAATTTTCTAAAAATTTGTTCTACTTTCAATAGCATGAAAACAGGGGTTGTATGTAGATTTTTGTCTGTCACTGTATAACTGGCACTTGTACATTTGCTAGATGTGTGCCCGAACTTCTCCTGCTGACAAATTACTGATTGATTTTATAAGTGGCAAACATACATGCATACATGTTTGACGAAACTCGACGAGGAGTGCCACTATAAGACAATACTTTTCCCTTTATTTTACTTTAATATTCGACCCCTTAATACATATGTACATATTTAATAATCAAGTTACTATGGCAGAGGGAACAAAACAAAAAATATGTTGGTTTGATGTTTCTTTAAAAACTTCGCAAATATAACTTCTAGAAAACATGATGGCTCAAACTGTTTTTTTTACTGAGGACATACAAACATATGTTTAGTGTATTATTGGTAATTCGGGTATAATTAGCAATACAGACTTTTCTTACCACGAGCTTATTTGACATTTTCCATCTATAACAAATACTGAATCCGTTAAACTTTTGGATCGATCCATCAAATAGGTAGGCACAACAAATTTAACCACATTAAAAAGGTTACTTTAAAAAGTCTTAAAAACGAAAATAGTTGCATTCGGATAAATTATCAGAGAGAAGCGTTTTTACTGCCCCAAGACAGTAATAGATCTGGGAGTCGAATTCTTTTTACAATCTGACCAGCTGTTCATCGCCCGAAAGATAGTCGGCTTTGAATTTTTGCATTCTCGGTTGAAGGACGAAAATTGAGGCAGACTTTATCTGTTCAGAGCAGCCCAACCAAGCAAAGATAAATTGTTAGGATGGCACAAGAGGCGAGAGAATCTTTGAACAATGTCAATCACCGATAATAGAAAATGTAGTTGCATAAACGTGGCTCTAAACAGTTAAATATAAATACTTATTACCGCACGTTCTCTTGCTTCGAAGTAACTTTTTTTTGAATGAGGGTAAATATTATATATAAAATAAATTCTCAATACCCTAACAATCCCCGTTACGGAGTATATTATTTACTACCTATGTGTAAATGTTTAACATATGATTACATATGCATGTGTTCATATATGTATATATATTAATTTAAATATATACATACTTACATACATTCATAACCGACGGTCAAAGAATCAACTTGCCAATGATATTTTGCGCGCGATCTCGTGCGCTGCTAATTGTAAAAACTTCGTCCCGCCCTTCTCAATAAGTTTGGCTACTTGCCCCACTGATTGACGCGGGAATCTATCAATATACCTATATACATATATACTTACCATACATACATACACATACGACCCCGAAAGGCTGAGTAAGTGCATAGTTTTTATTATTGTCAGCAATAAAGTCGATGGCTCTCTGCTGTATGTGTTTCGAATACAAATTCATTGAACTGCTAGACTTTTCAATAGATGGAATTAGTTTACCAGAATGTCAGATACGATTGCTTTTATATGGTATGCACGTATAAATATATAAAATATGTATGTACTTAAATGTAGGCATTTACTTAACACACTAAATAGTCAATAACTTTTAACTTGTCGAGTTCCATACTTCACATATACATACATATATGAAACAAAAACCAAAACGAAGTCTCTTAGCACATAGAGAAGTTCTTTTGATATAATTGAAGAGTGATATTACTCGGTTTAGAAAACTAGGATTCTTCAGCTTGTCAAACTCCACCTAATGCGAAATTTTACCTAGATTCATACCGAAGCTACTCAATATACATACATACATATGTATGTTAGACATATTAAGAATTGATTATAGAATAATTATAATTGGGAGTACATGTTATTATTAATCCTATAGCTAGATATTTACAGCTTTGTTTCAAACCATGGTTTTTGACCATTTTTATGTCAAAGTGTTTTACTATTATTTTTAGAAACTTGTTTTCCATGTAATATTATACAAAAAAAAAAATTTAAATTAAATTAACTTATTTTCCTTCGAATTTTTTTTCCTGTTAAGAAAAAAACGTATATATGAAAAAATTTAAACAATTTACTGTATTCCTTAACATATTACCACGTTATTACTTTCTTGAATGACCCCGATTTCTCAAAGCAGCTTGACATCTGCGAAGAAAGTTCTTCACCAGTTTCACGCATGTACTTGGGGAATGGATATTATGCTTCCTTAATTCCCGCCCACAGAACCGGACCATGTCATGAATAAATATCTAATTTACAAGCATTGATTTAAATGGGAATTGTGTGTCTTAGCATCATCAATTTCTACCAACGGCCCCATTCCATACCACGAAAACGTATGCCACGCCATGACATTACCTACACCATGCTTTACCGTTTTCCTGGTGTATCTTGGATTTAGAGATTGGCCTTTCGAGCCATGAAGAAACGTTTCACCATCGGGTTCAATGCGATTTACTTTTCTTTCACCACTCCAAGTCCTCTTTTCCAAAATTTTACATCCTTCACTACATGAGTCTTAGCAAAAGTAATCCGCATTTCTGTGTTTTGAGAAATATTTCAAAAAGTTCGTATATAACGCACCGTTTTTCGGGAGTACAATGTATTCATCTACCCATTTTTATACTCTTGCAACATGTTGCTACAGAATATAATAGTTTTGTGTACCTAACGGTTGTATGTGTAACCTAAAACTAATCAAGATAGATATAGGGTTACATACCATATATATAAATGATCACGATGACGACACGAGTTGAAATCCGGGTGACAGTCTGTCCGTCCGTGCAAGCTGTAACTTCAGTAAAAACTGAGATATCTTTATGAAACTTGGTACACATGTTTCTTGGTACCGTAAGACAGTTGGTATTGCAGATGGGCGTAATTGAACAACTGCCACGCCCACAAAACCCCATTGATCAAAAACAAATAAATTGCCATAACTAAGCTCCACAATAAAATACAAGACTGTTATTTGGTATACAGGATCACATCAGGTAGGGGCATCTGCCGCTAAAGCTATAATAATAAAATTCAGTGAGAACAATTGTTTTTGCACCTCTATCGTCAGTGTGAAAATGGGTGAAATCGGGTGACAACCCCGCCCACTCCCCATATAGCGGTACTGTTAAAAACTACTAAAAGCGTGATTAATCAAGCACTAAACATGCCAGAGACATTAAATTTTATCTCTGATATGGTATGAGATGACTTAATGGGAACCGTCTTCAAAATTAGACCGTGGCACCACCCACTTTTAGGTGAAAACCAATATCTTGGGATCTGCTTAACCAATTTCAACCAAATTCGGTACATAATATTCCTCTCAAATTTCTATATTATAGGGCGAAATCGGATTACAACCACGCCTATTTCCCATATAACACCATTTTAAATTCCATCTGATTCTCTCACTCTCCACTATGCAAATCAAGCAACAAATATCGGGATAAAACTTTGCATGAATAATGGGTTTAAAGTATGCCATCTTGTCACCAAAAATTGTCTTATCGAACCAAACTGTTCAAGCCGCTAGGTACTGAATATGTGGACCCCAGTTGACTTTTTTCCAAAAATATCGGTCAATGTGTAAGATATATAATAAAATAAATAAATGAAACTTTCGATAATAGTATGTCTCTGTGTCAAAAATGGATTGAATCGGATCAATACTTCCTTTAATATAAAATTTTGCCAACACCAGGCTTTGATCCTTGCAAGTTGCGAGAGTATAAAATGTTCGGTTACAACCGAACTTAGAACTTCCTTACTTGTTTC